AATTTAGCTGGTCATTCAATTTCAAATTTCAGAGTGATTGCAATGAAATCACGCTTGCATGAAATCCTCACTTTACACCATCTAGCTTTTTCTACCCTCACTCACTCGCCACTGAGGAAGGACTAGTGTTGTCCGAAAGCTCTGGTTCTATTTCTGGCTGTTTACTTACGTTTACTTTTTAGCTGTTGCTTATCATTTTTGTATCTCTACTGAGATCCAGCCATTGTATATATATAATTCATAGGCCTAGTATTATTACATAATATACAGGTCTTATCATTTTTTCATTAATTGCTCTAAAAACACCTTAAAATGGCCCATATTGTTATCTGCCTGGACCCGACCAAAGGTTGATTAGTCAACAATGGCATGTTGGTGCTGCGCGTTGAGATGTGTGCCTTTTCTTGGAATTAAGCAGTCTGCATTCAAAATCTTACGATACCACCATAAAAATATCAAGACAAATTAATTTTGAACTAAGTATAAATAATTCGTTGAGATAAGCCCATTATGACATCGCTTTTTAAGTGACTGTAGATTTAGAAGTCTAATTATAGGCTAATTATAGCTGTCTGAAATTAATAAATTATAAACATACATTTGGAAATGTTTAAAACATTTTCTCTCAACTTAACACTCTTGGTAGTTTTCGGTTTATACATCAAAGTGATTTGCGCTCGGATTTGCGAGATATTGGGCGTGCTATCGACTTACAATATGTCGTACAGGTACCAATTGCATGACTATAATGATGGTTATATTGGCCTTTTCATAAAACGTCGAGGAGCCCGTTTTTGGATTGATTCGACACTGCTAATTACGAGGTTTCATTAATCAATCTTTCTGCAACTCATAAGAACACCCATTGTTTTGCTACAATGGTTTGACTAGCTATCCACAGGTCTCTCTGCAGCAACTTTGTGTTGTAGGAATATGACATGCCTACGACAAGACACGAATATGGTTATGAAAATATAGGTTATTTATTATTAATGATAAAATCGTCTGTGGTGCAACATAGAAAAACCTAAAAAATATCAAATTTTTCATATCACGTCACGTAAGCTGTTTTATAAACTTCCAAATACTGTAACACACATCAATATGTTTAGAAATTTTACTACAAAATATCCTTACATTTTTTAGCTTACCTTGTGTTTCTGGAGGGCTGCAACGCAAGTTACGATAGTGCACTACGCACTATGGCCCATGGTGCATGTTACAGAACACAGTGCACTGTTCTCGGAAGAGTAGGGGATTGTCTGCCTAATTCACCACAAGAAAGACCCCACTGTCAGCAAGTCTTTGAAGAATGTGTGAAAACACTAGAGGCTGCCATGAACTTACCTGCTATGCGCAAGAGAGGCGGGTCTGCATCCAAGCGGGCGAGGCAGGTGAAACACCCTATCAGCTCCAATGGCAGAGTGTCAGTGTACCTACAACTGGTTGAGGCTTATAGACTCACCAATGCAACTGTAAGTTCTTTTAATATTTCACCACATGTAGTAGCCAGTGTTGTAGTAGAGAAGGTTTAATAGGTGTTGGTTTTCGGGCAGAGGGGGGGGGGGGTTGCTGGGTGTTGTCCAGCTTTACACCCCCAGCAATGTCATTTGGTTACTAGTAGTAGCGTCCCATACCTACTACATAGTAAAGACGAATCAAGATTTTTTCAGGGAGGCATGAGGAAGAGTGTTCGCCATAATGTTTGTTCCTAACCACTCCGTTCACAAATACCCCACTCGAACCAGAACTAATATTCATATTCCCATCCACAACACAAATTATTTCCAACATAGTATTAGGTACTCTGGACCTTTAATGTACAATAATTTACCTACAACAATATTAGATGCTGCCTCTCTTAACTCATTCTCCAATAAACTAAAATCTCACCTTTTGTCACTGTACTAGTAGCAAAAAATTACACTCGGTCATTGTTCTATGTTCTGTAATTTGAAATATTGTTGTCCTGTTTTTTTTTGTTTTTTTTTGGGGGGGGGGGTTTATGTATTGAATTTACTCTTATTGAATTATTTTCACAATATATATATATTTTTTTATTGTCTTATTGTTTTTTTCGATTTTTTATGTGTGTATATATATATATATATGTATATGTGTATATATATATATTTATATATATATGTATATATATATATATATCAAATTTATTCTTATTGAATAATTTTTACCATTACTCTTTTGGGTTTTTTTTACCTTATTGATTTCTCTTTTGCTCAATCATTTATTATTTTCTGTATCTTTTCTTTGTTACAAGCATACCCGGCACAAGGTCTCTATCTTTTAGGGAATATGCCTTCGTCCATACATTAAAAATTCTGTACTTTGCCCTTATTTTATCTTTAAATTTGTTCTTATATAATTATTCGCATTGTACTATACTTTGTGCTTTTTTTCATTGTTGTTGTTTCATTTATGGACGAAAATAAATGTCTTCTGAATTGAATTGAATTGAACATGAGGCCACATTAAAACCAAATTAAAAATAAAGTTTACTTATTTTGATTGTGAACGTATGTGGGTGTGTAAGTACAGTGTGTGAGTATTTTTTTTTTTTTGTATTATCTGATTAAATTCTACTTTTACCATTAGGAGAGATTACAAAGAATAGTATATACATACTTCAAGTATCAAAATGCACGCCATCGTGTCGGGATTCCCGACACGATGGCTGAGATTAATCAGTGGACCTTTCGGACTACTTAGTCTATTATAACAGAATGAAATATATGGGAATGAAATTGTTGCCACTAACGCATGTTCAATTCTAAATAAATTTAATGAAATGGATTTGCTTCTTAATAATTACAATATCGACATAGCTGTTATAACGGAATCGTGGATAACCCCACAAACGGTACCTGAATTGTATAATGTTAACTCTTTTAACTCATTCAATATGTGTAGACAGCAGAAACGAGGCGGAGGTGTCATAATCTATGTTAAGGATAACATTAAGGCTGAAGTTATGAAAGACATCGTTGTTCCAGCTGACTTGGAAGTCTTATGGATTATGTTGTCTCATCCGAAATTTCCACGAGCTGTCCCGTACTTGATCGTAGCAGCTGTATATATACCACCGGACTCGCCAATCCGCGATTCGTATATTGATCATCTTACAGGTAGCATTGACTTTATTAATACTTATAAGAAACAAGCTGGACTCATGATTATTGGTGATTTTAACCGCACGGACACTAGGTCAATACTTTTAGGCACTAGTTTAAAGCAGATCATTAATTCCCCTACAAGAGAACATGTTATACTTGACCTTGTTATTACCAACATGTCTGAATTGTATCTTGAGCCACAATATTTACCCGCTGTTGGTCGCAGTGATCATTGTGTTATATCATTGCAACCAAAGGTGAGAATCCCTATTAACAGAATGGTTGCTAAAACTATCCAACCCATTACGGATTCCAAGCTCAATGAGTTTGGGCGTTGGATACAAACCCAGACATGGTCCGATATTGTTGATGCAGTTGACATTCAATTAAAAGCCGATACGTTTTTACAAAATTATGAATGATGCAATCCAAGTACATTTCCCATTTAAATAAAATAATTAAGATCCACTGTAATGATAAGTCGTGGATGACAGGCCATATTAGGGACCTTTTTTACGAAAGGCACTTAGCATATGAAAAGGGAGACGATACCATGAGAAAGAAAATTCGTAACCTTATCATAAGAGAAATTAGGAAAGCCAAAATTAATGAGATCGAAAACAAAGTGTGTTATCTAAAACGGGTGGACCCTGGAAAGTGGCACAAACAAGTCAAACGTTTAACAAACAGTACCAAAAAGAACATGATAATTGATGTGCCTGGAGTCGACACTGGCGATCACTTGGCTGTTGCAAATTGCATAAATAAATTTCTCGCTAAAAATTCTCAAAAACATCAAGCAATCAATACTAAATTTCTTCCTGCTTACTTGCCAAGCCATGTGCCTCCTCCCCAATTTCACCCCTGGGAGATCTATGACGATTTGAAGAGGGTGTCTGTTTCAAAGGCAGGGGTCCGGACATTATTCCACAGAAGATCCTCAAGGAATGTGCATTTGAACTTAGCCTTCCTGTGTCTCATATCATCAATGCATCCCTTGAACAAGGAGTTGTTCCAACTCAGTGGAAGGAGGCAAATGTAATCCCCCTCCCGAAACAGACACCTCCCCTCAATTGAAAAACTGAGACCTATCTCTCTCACCCCAACACTCGCAAAAATTGCGGAAAAAAGAGTTTCAAAATCAATAATTAAGGCAATTGAACCATCTATTGATTCATAGCAATATGAGAATCAAAAAGGTGTGTCGACGAACCACTGACCAATGATTGATAGATGTGTACCATAAATTAATATTGGAAGCCGAAAAACCTGGTAATGTCAGTACACTTGCTTTGACTGATTTTACCAAAGCTTTTGATGTAATTGATCATCGAGTAGCATTTAGCAGCCTCCTTAATATGAACGTATCTCCATCTATTCTGCAGTGGGTCGTCGACTTCATTTCTAATCGCAAACAACGATGTAGATACTTGAATCACACTCCGAATGGGAATCGCTCTCATGTGGTGTTCCACAGGGAACTATACTTGCCCCTCTTATCTTTCTTTGTGTTATCAATTCCGCTTTTAACCTAAATCCATATAATGCTGAGGATCTGGTCATCCATGTCTGGAAATATGTTGATGATCTGACACTTGGAGAAAATAATAAAATTGGCTCTCCAAGTTCCATTCAATCTTGCCTGGACCTTTTACAGCAATGGTCAGTGAGAAATAAATTATATCTTAATCCCTCCAAGTGTCAGATCATGCAGGTGTATTTCGGTCGTAGGAGATTACCAGACATAGATTTTCACATCTCACATACCATACTCCCAATTGTTAACAGAGTAAAACTCCTCGGGGTGGTGATTCAAGACGACTTTAAATGGGATGGTCATATTGATCAAATTGAAAGAAATGCTAACAAAAAAGTGTTTATGCTTAAACGATTGAGAGAGGTAGGTTTCACTTCCAATGAACTTTTAACCATCTACGTTGGTTATATTCGCCCAACCCTCGAATATACCACACCAGTTTGGAACTGTGGATTATCTGGAATCTGTTATTAATCACAGGTTTCGTCATTGGTTCTAAACCTCCAATAATACCTCATCAATGCGTCTCCGTAATCCCAGAAAATTTGAAACTGTTATTCCTAGAACAGAAAGGTTTAGAAATAGCCCTATACCTTTTCTCACCAAACTTCTTAATGAAATAAATGAATCCATTCCTATGTGTCCTTTCTGCGAGAGTGTTGACCCGTCCCGGGTGGTGTTTTGGTTTAATATTAGTTTAAGTTTCATTAGTTTGTTTTTGAATTTTTGCTTTTTTTAAATCGGAAATTTTAATGTTTGTGCATATTAATTAATATCAAAATTTTTAAATAATAATTGTAACTAATTAAAATAATAATAATATTGACTATTTTAATTGATCTTAATAATGATAATGACTTATTGTAAAT